TAAAAGTATAACTATTGCACTGTGTTTTACACCTGAAACTAATTTAAAAAAATAAAATAAAATTTAAAAACAATACAAAAAATTTAAAAATAAAAATAAAGTGATTTTCTAGCTTAAAAAAAAAATTTACACCCCTGCCAACTCTAAAGCGGACTTGGGTTAAAAAACTAGTCTATTCTCTCATTTACTTCTTCCAAAAGGAGTAATGACCTTTTTTCCCCAGTCGAATTAAAATTCAAATTGAAGCATATTTTTACTTGATTATAGCTCTTTGTGAAAAATTCTTAGGGAAAAGGATAACATGAAACTTGAGGTAGCTGTTGTTTGTAGACTGGATTTTCAAGGACAGCCCATTCCCATGGTTAATTGCAAGTTAAATGTGTATAAAAAAGAGTTGGCAAAAGCTGATTCTCCTCCCTCTCCAGAGGCTTCCAAGTTTCTTTTTCATGAGCACCCAGAATCTTTCCCCTTTCTGGATCCAGATTCCATTCTCAGCATATCTGACCAGATGACACAACATCTGTGTGCTCTTTTAAGAACGTGAGAAATGAAGCTTTTCATCTTCCCTCTCTTTGAGTTCTGGGAAATTCAATTAAAACTGCTCAGACTTCCCTTTTCTGGTTTGCTTTAGGAGACAACTCACCGGACGAGTCCTGTGGCAGTCTCCCGCCGGTGGAAGAAGGCGATCGAAAAATAAGCCTGATTATGGAGCTATCGACCCAGATTTCCCTGCAGACTGAGAAGATAACTCAGCTGGAAGAAGTTTTAGAGGAAAAGGAAAGGAAGATTCAGCAGCTAGAAGCTGAGCTGGGGGCCCATCCCTTCCAAGAAGTCAAGGATTCTCAAGAATGTTTACAAGAAGCCCCAATTTTCTTTAATAATAGTATCACTCCTCTGGTCGCTGATGAGGATATGTAAAGATTCCCAGTAAGAAAACAATAAAAGGTTATTAAGTGTCATCAAGGTAAAGTCTAGAACCCAATTTGTCTCCCTACTAGCAAACTCATGTTCAAGTTCACAGGTTTGAATACATCTTATAATGTTCATATTGGAAGGAAACAAAAGAACATGTTCAGACACAAACTCTGAATGTTAGGCATCAGGAGTCATGTAATCCACACAGCTGTAGAATACTATGTTTTCAGGCCTTCCTGGTAACAGTGGGAGAGGGAAAACCACAAGACTAGAGAGATGGTAAAAAACTTAACATCATACTCTTGCCAGAAGTCTGTCACACTGTAAGGAAGGGATGGCACCAATCCCATTTCAGTATGCAGCTCAGCTGTGAACAGTAAGCTATCATGGAGGGCAAGCTTCAAGCTGGGAGATGTTAGG